ACCCACACCCACCCACACCCACCCATGCATGCATGCATGCATCCATCCATCCATGCACACATGCACACATGCACACATGCACACATGCACACATGCGCACATGCACACATGCACACATGCAAACTACATCAACATGTATACACATATATGTATATCTGTATATATGTATACACATATTTATACATGTATATATATATATTATATTTATCCATCTATATATATATATATATCTACACACACACGCATGTCAGTTGATCAATTGGAACTTCTCAGATTTCTGTGGCAGGATGCCAATGCTGCTGTCATAGCAAGTAAGGCTGTTTGACATCATCGTGTCGCTGTCCTCCTCGCAGCCCTTTGCGGTCACGCAGCAGCAGCCGCTCAGCTCAGCGCACCATCACCACAAACAAACCTGCTCGCTTCAAGCTTGGCAACCGTCCGTCCTCTGCTTTCATCGGATGAGGTGCGAAGCCTTCACCTCCATCTTTGATCTGCGTGGCGATGGTGTGCTGCGGCATGATGAATTTCTGGATTTCGCCAGGCCCGATGTGTTTTCTATACTGCATAGGCTATGGCTGCTATTCCAGAATGGTTTTGACGGACTGGAGACAGGTTTCTCTGCATCATGAGCTACCTCCACAGCACTGATGGAGAGGTTGGCCATATTAAACTTGATGGAGTTTGTGTGTCGAAGCGTCTTGTTGCGTTTTGGTCTTAGCATTTGGCCATGGCCTCCCTCTCCATTCTGTCACGTAGCGATGTGAACGCACAAGCGGCCTTTGCAGGTTGCAGCAACAGAAGCTGTGAAGGTCTTGGAGGACAGCAAGCGCATCGAGGACGAAAGCTTGATAGATGGATTGCTGCAAAGCGTCACTGTCACTGTCATTGTCGATTTGTTTCTCGACGCTGCCGACGTTCACAAGGATCTTCTGGCAGCACTGGAGCGTGACCACGCTGCAGTGCAGCAGGCAGTTTGAATTGCCTTTCTGTGGCTTTTGTCCAGAAGCCATTTTCTTGATTTTCCCCAGCTGTCGCAGTTGTGTGTTTTCGGTATGTAGCATGGATCGTTGCACGCGGGGCTCAGAGACCAGCTAAGAGTAGATAGGGCTTGTCCGCCGTGGGGCAGAGACGTGCGGAGGAGCCCTGGCCATTGTCCCAAAGCCTAGCGAAGCTGTGGTTCCTGCGTGTTCCAAGACATGGCATCGCCCGGAAGACCGCAGAGTCGCGGGATGGGCCCAGTGCTTGAGCCCCGGAAGTGCAGTGAAGTTTTTCGATGGAGACCCGCTTTGGATCTCAGGGCCGCACCGGGCATGAGCACCGGGGGACTGGGCCCAGTGCAGGCAGTGGCTTGCAGTCCGAGGGTCAGATGACGTAGGCGGAGCATCTTGAGTCTTGAGGCCACCATGCGTCCAGGCACGCAAATGGGTGGGCGTGGTGCCAAGCTGTGCATTTAGATCCCAAGCACCGCTGCTTGCCAGAACCTAGGACACAGAATCCCATGGGTCAAACTGGCCGGGCAAGTGTCTCAGTTGACGTGAAGGGGTAGGTGGGCAGGTGCAGAGCGTGTGCGAACAAAGACTTGGGCCAGCTGCCAACGTTCAAAAGGTTCCCACAGCTCAGGGCGGGAGTCAAGCCCTCAGTCCGCATGTGCGCATGTGCAGACAACTGGCGTGCGCCCGTCTAGGCATAATTACAAGAGGCACATTGGCAAGAAAGGTTCACTATTGCTGGAGCATCGTCTTCAGGAATGAGTGCCTCCAGAACAAGGCAAGGCACAGCCCAGCCGGTCCTGGGCCGACAGCTGAGAGAGGAGATTGAGAGGGGATCAACCACTCTGCTCACCGATGTTGACCAAGGCGTCGGGGCGATGACCGAGGTGAAAGTCTCCGACCGGCCCATGACGATGCAGGGTGCGCCAGGGCGTCTGCCAGACTTGATGTCAGCAGTTGCTCTTATCGAACCATGTGTTTGGTAGTAGAACTTGAGGTTCACCGCATCTGTTTTTTCTGTGCTGAAACAGCTCGCGCAACAACGTAGTCAATTTGGCTCGAGCAGTGGATGCTGTGTCCCTTCGTCACAGCCACTGGTTTTCAGCGCCTCTCGATACTCGATCAACTATGCCCTGCTTGAGGCGGGAGCTCGGGTGTGTTTCCAACCAGTATGAGACCCAACTTCAAAGAGCAGCCAGTGTGCTTAACTTTACCTTATTTTGTCTTGCTGCAGTCCAGAGCTTCAAGTGTTAATTTGCAACCTGACCAAAGCTACCCTGAGAGGGAGTATGCTCAGGCAGGACTGCACGGACAAGTGCATCTTGAACGCTGATGATCCAACATTGGCGTCGGGCGTTTGCAAGGCTGTTGCTTCCCACATTTTCAACAGCCTAAGCGAGCAATCAAGTTTCTTGCAGTGTCTGCCTTGGAAGCGGGGTGAGCCACAAACTCATGAAGCAAGGCTACGGTCACAAGGCATGTCAGATCAGAAGTGTCACGAGTCAACACGTCGCATCGGCAGCATGTACCCCCCTCAGAAGTTGGTAGGATTCAGTGCGTTGCAGGTCTGCGACCACTCTATTTGCTTTCACTGTGAGGCCTCGGTTGCTTGTGGGAACCGGATGCTTGCCTTCTATCTTGCTGGCAGACAGGAGTGCCAGGATCTGTGGCATGCACCCGAGAAAGAATGCGAGCGCCCTTGCTGCCGCTTTGAAGTGACCGTCCTTGGCGTGGCTCGCCTTTCCAAAGTTCAGTCTGTCTCACGACATCTTCGGCCACATGTTACTCCCTTAGCAGCAAGGTTTGACACTGGTCACAAGATCACGTGTTTCGTCAGGTGGACAACCTCTGCTGAAATTCTGATGCCGGACTGCAAAGCTTCAATGCGTTTGGATATTTTGTGTTTAGATGTTGTACCAAACATGGTCACGGACCTACAATCAAGAATCGTACGTTATTTTACCTGTACGAGATCTTTGCACCCTGGTGCATCCTTCAGGCCATGGTGTGATTTGGAAGCCCGTCACCAGTTTGGAGTAGCGATTGATGATTTAGGTTCAGGAAGGTGTCAGGCGCAAGCAAAGCTAGCAAATGGTTGCTACCTCGTGAAGCGGCGACGAGGTAAGAAGTGGTTTAGGCATATGCTGTTGCACTTGATCAAGGTTGCATAGTTGAACGCATGGGTTGAGGTTCAGGAGTCGAACGCCCAGGTTATGGGTAGGCTTCAGAAGGAGTGGGGATGTCCTGCGTAGCATGCCCACAGCTAACTTTACCTGGGGCTCATGAGTGCTGCGTTGAACCGGAGAGAGAGTGAAGTGACGGCCTTGCAGCAATCTGAGGAGGTGAAGCTGATCGAAAAAGCTGTAGCAAGCCTTGGCATTAGCAAGGCAGCCGTAAAGGCAAATGCTGGAACAAAGACGGCGGTGGTGACCCACCTGTCAAAGGTGAAGCCTCACAGATCCTCTGCTGCGCTGGGAGTGTTTTGAAGCCTGGTTCGTGATGTCTTGCAATGACATCAGGGCCTGTCATCAGAGTGCAGCTGGAACGCTGATCGGGGTTGCGAAGTCAGACATAAAATTCGGTTCTAGACTCCATGGAAAGTTTGGTGGAGCTGTGGGCATCGCAAGCAGATGCTGGGGAGGCGGAGTTTGGATGCTGGAGTACGGGACTGTGAATTTGTACTTGAGGGTTTGGTACGTCAGATGCTTTGGCATTTTGTAATACTCGCGGTGCACAATTGCGCAGCTCGTTTACGCCTTGCAAAGCGGTCAGGTCTGGTGGCGGCAATGAACAGCCTGATGCTGGGTGCTCGTGCCTTGTCCAAGACGAATCTGCAAAATTAGGCGTAGTCCCCTTCGGAAGTGGCTAGAATCACACGGATAGCCGGCAGATTTGATGGCTCTTATTGTGTAGAGCTGATACTGTCACACTGTCACCAGTCGGTCGGTGCACTGTCAGGAATCATCCAGGCCGGCGGTGTTCAGCGAGAGGAACAGCAGAACCACGGCTTGCGGGGTCTCCTGCTGTCCCTTCAAAATGCAGACAGTCTTTCGGCTTAATGGCAAGGCCCGTACCAAGCCAAGCGGGGCACGGCGTCTGTCCCACATAAAACTTGAGCCAAGGTAAGGCATCTCGAGCGCTGCTCATGGTGCAAGGCATGCGCTTGAGTCTCAGCAGCAAAAACGTGTCTCCTATGCATGTTCAGGCGTCGCCTTCTTCACTTCCTTCATCCCCGGTCCACAAGCTCCTTTTCTGGGACTCGCCCCCAAGCTTGAGAATCACACGCAGTATACTGTATCTTCGCATGCTTGCCATTTGAGCAACCTGGCTCTGGTTTTAGCCGCATATCAGGGCTACGTTGCCTTGCTGTCAGAATTGACAAGCTCCAGGTTGTTGTGCTTCTTGCACATGCTTTGCTTCGGAGAGCTAGTGACAGCCTCAGAGTCTCTCTGTTCGTGCTGATGCAAACTGTTTTTTAGCATGCAAGTAATAACTCCCAAATGTTCCACAACTTCATTTGCAAGGTCAGGCCATCATGGCGCGACGCATCTCCATGCACGTCTTGATGTTCACGGTCCTGATTGGTGCTTTATACCTGAAGCAGTTCACAGAAGCCGCCACTGTAGCCTTCCTCGTGAACGTGTCAGAGTGGATTGTGGGAAAATCACAGCAGCTTGTTGAAGCCGAGTTGGAGAACAGCATGGTTGGCGCAGCTAGCCATGCAACTCGCCTTTCCAGATCAGGAGGGCCTCGCAGTGCAGGTGCTTCAGTGAAAATCGAGGAGCTGGCTCCAGGAGATGTTGTCCTTCTGAAGTCTGGCAGCGTGGTGCCAACAGATGGCCGCCTTCTGCGTGCGGAAGCATGCATGGTCAATGAATCAGCAGTCACTGGTGAGGCGTTGCCAGCTGAGAAGGTGGTTGGAGCTCAGCTTCTTTCTGGGACAGTGGTTGCCGGTGGTGTGGCAGAGATGGAGTGCACAACGACTGCTGCAGAGTCCTTCCAGGGGCGGATGAAGTCAGCTGTGCAAGATGCCCGAAGCTCTCGAAGTGAAATGGAGGAGCTTGTGAACAGATTTGCTGAGCTTTACACGCCCATTGTCCTGGTTCTCTCCCTGGCTATCGCTGTTATGTCAGAAGATCTAACGCGCGGTCTCACGGTGCTGGTGTCTGCCTGCCCTTGTGCAGTGGTGGCGGCAGCTCCTGTGGTTCAAGCTTGCTGCTTCGTGCGACTTCTTTCAGATCTACAGGTGCTGGTGAAGGATGCTCGCGCTTTGGAAGGCTTCGCGCGAATCACGGCTCTGGGGACTGACAAGACAGGGACCTTGACAAAAGGTACTTTCGAGCTTGCCGAAGTGGTCCTGCTGGATGGCGAGAAGGAAGATCTCATGAAACTACTTGCCGCACTGGAATCCCAAGACTCGCACCCGTTGGCAAGCTCGATTGTGAGAAGCTACGTCGGATGTGCCGCAAGCTTCGACAACAAGGGTTCAGACCTGCCCAAGGTTTCCAATTTCACACGCGTGGAGTCAATGGGAGTTTGGGGGGTCATCCAAGGCCAGGTTGTTGGAGCTGGCAGCAAGCGCTTTCTGGACTCCATGGCCATAAGCCTACCAGAGCAGGCAGAAGCCAAACTGAAAGCTTGGGAAGCCGAAGGTGGTGTGTGCAGCACTGTCTTCATGACTTTGGAGGAGGAGGTGGTGATGATTCTCCGACTCCAGGATGAAGTCAGGGAGGATGCTGCCGCAGCAATTCGAACACTCCAGGATCTTGGAGTGGAGGTCACCATGCTGACAGGCGACGAGCACAAGGCTGCAAACGTGGTTGGCGAGCAATTAGGTATCACCAAGAGGTGCCTCAGCTTGGATCAGTGCTTGTGCAATGCGTTCGGCAGGGCGAGCATGTCGCATGTCGTTGCAGGTTGGCGAAGCTCACGCCCAGCGCCAAGGAGGCCCAGCTGCTGCCATCTTGGCTTCGAGTTCT